CGGCTCTGCTTTTCGAAAATCTCACTACTTTATTGCGGAGGATCTCGGACTGATATTTTGGATGAGTCCCCCCTACCGGTGCCCAATTAATCAGGGCAGACTGGGCACGTTCCGAACCTCAGTGCTGGGTACTACCGGATTCGACCCCCCCCCACACACACACATTTAAGTGTGTATTTGCTTGCAACTGGGGACCCCCTATTGTTCCTCTTTTGTTTGTACTTAAACTTTTTTAAGGTCACATTTAACTGACAACAGATTAACACATCTGAACTCAATGGCACCTTGCATGAACGTGTAATGCTCCCCCCGCCAGATCCCCGCGGGTTTCCCCTTTTAGAATCTTGAAATGAACAAAATATCCAAACCACGGTTAATTTGTTTCAGTAAACCTCCTTAAAAGAAGAGTATTCACCCAATGGTGCCCCCAGAGGTTCAACAACAGCCAATGTAGAACAGCTCTGATTCCCACACTGAACACCAGGAACGTCATATCGACTGGCATGACAGACATACACCAATAACTCCCCGTGGGGATACGGGACATTCAGATCACCCCTACAACACCCGAAGGAATCTAGATAACAAAAATGGTAGGGCCTGTACCGTATAATGCGCCCAGACAACATTGGAAGCTTGATCAAGCAACGACGCTCGGCGGGACCGACCCCTTCAACGGACTCTGGGTGTGTAATGGAATTTGTCACGGAAAGGGGCAAGCCCCACTGTCGTTTGGACCTCTTGACAAAGACGTATCCGTATTAGGACCCATGAAATAAACCCATTACCCGGACGAAACGATGGCAACCCGCTGCAGTCATGTGGAATTCAGTTGATCTATCTGCTGGTTGAAAAGTACAGCGTTACGATAATTCTTGCCCAAAAAGGGGGAAAACACGAGCATCAGAAACCCTTCAGTGTCTTCATATTTAGGTATCTTTCTGGGGTTTTTTTGGTGTTCTTTATTACTCTTTACATTCTGAAAGGAAGTGAATCTTCCGAAGGACAATGTACAGTATTTTATGGCTAAGATCAGTGCTCAGATGTAGATTCGTTATCGAGAATGTTTTGCACTTTTTCTCGAACTCGGACACCTTCGATTTTCATGTCATCTTTCGCGTTGAAGTTCCAGTGCTCGAAGAGCGCCAAGATACTCAACCTCGATAATACCCACCTCAACGATCTTTAGCTCAGCCCCTGCTGGACGTTATGTCTCTGAGGTGACCCGAACTCTCACATGTTGGTCTGCAGATGCGGCGCTGACCCAATAGCCTCTATCCTGACGCAAATAGACTGTCCTGATTTCTCCTGAGAGTCCAACCAAGCTGTCGTCGTTTCCCTTCGTTTGGTAATTGGACAAAACCCTTTACATTCCCAAGGTGGGTTATTAATGCAAGAAGTACATTTCGCCGACAGAATGATCATTCTATACCCTTCGAGTATAATCGAGCCAGCCAAGGTCTTTTTATGTTGAACTTCCATCATTAGGGCGGATAAAAGTAATCTATAGGCCCACAGCTATACTTTTAACCAAATTCCGAGAGCGGACTTAGACAAATCTTCCCCAACCTTGTTTTCCTTGATGTAATCGTCTTGGTAAAATGTCTTTTCAGAGAGGGAAATCAATCAATCAATTTTATCAGACTGAAACAGAATACTATGTGATTAAACCCAATTCGGATACAGCGCATACTGTTTGCAGTAAGATGAGCAACTCTCCTGAAATTGAATACAGCAAACGTGCATTATACCTTGAATTCGTGTGTCTGTGTGTGAATAATCAGTATCATGTCGCTATGCTGCTATTGTCTACAAGAATTGTGGTTGTCTTAAGGGTAAGTATTTAAAAACAACAATAAATAGGATTGAAAACAACCTCGTAAATTTAATGTTTACCCATTAATTGTGGCATCAAAATGAATAAAAAGATCCTACGTTTCCCCGCCCACCAAAAAAACCCTTTTGGCCGTTCGCGCTCCCCAGCTGATTGGATGACGTCATCGCCAGAGCGCTGACATGTACATGTACATCGCGCATAGTTGTGTTTGATGTAGCTTGGCCCACAGGCAAATACTGTCTCAGTTCAAGAAATACACGGTAGGACTGTGTCTTTTAATTTCTACCATGGAGGATCTTTTTATTCATTTGGGGTCGCAATACGGGCGATTAACAGCAGTGCGCCTCCAAGAGTTTGCAATGCGTTGGTCAATCACAATGCCCTAAATCTGTCGACCCAGTGCGTGCATGGAAACTGTCGACAGATTTCGCGAGTTGTGATTGGCCAATGCGTCGCAAACTCTTGGAGGCGCCCTACTGTGAATCACCCGTATTAATGGGGTAAACAAATTAAATTTAGGATGTTTTGAAATGGTTAGATATTTATTGTTATTTTGAAATACTTCACGTGACCTAAATGTTTTCAATTTCGATCTGTTGTCATTTAATGCAAAGGCTAATGATATTTCAATAAAGAACACGACGTCCAAGCAAGAAACAACAGAGATGAAAATTTAAAAAACGACTTGGAAACCCCTCCGTGTTGGTGTTGGTCTGTTTATTAACCATTCTGACAATTTTTCTCATTTTTTAATTAAAGTTTAATTCTTGTGCACGGTTTGTCTCCGTGAGTGTGCTCGCTAAAACTGACAACACCCTGCTAGTGCCCGTCTTTATTTATACCTTTCGCTCCGTCCATCCTTTTACGTAACCACCTGTAAGGCATGAGCAGACTTCTCACTCTGTTCGTTCCTGAAATTCTTAAAACAACAATTTCCCGCTTGACGACGATCCACAGGAAATTTGATAGTATTGTGGATTATAGTAACGGACGAAATCGCCAAGTGGCATAACATCGACGCACGATTATGGTCAGTCGTTATTACAGACATGATTCGGGTTCGGTTTGAAGGGATTTCCAATAACCCAACAGAACTCGTTAAGGTGGCACTGTACATGTACGTAGAAAGCCTATCGCCTTTTGTGAAAACACGTGTTGACGTGTATCGTCTTAGAATGAAATGTTTACCGTCCCCTTCGCTCTGCAAAAGCCCTCGTTTACACGCACGTGCAAATTTATAGAATCATCGGCGAAATATGTTGCACTATAATTTGCACAGCTATGGGGAGTCAATTTGCTGGGTACCTTAGCTCTCCGATGAAGTTTGGAGTGCAAACATTATTTATAATCGTTTTGTTTAGTTTTCGTTTTGTTTCTTTTCGTTTTCTTTCGTTTTTTGTTTCATTTCGTTTGGTTTTGTTGGTTGGGTTGAGTTTGGTTGGTTTGGTTGGTTTGGACTGACTCCACTGTTGAATGAAATTAAAAGTCGCATGTAGCTGCTTGATTACAGCTGGAAATTACGGTAGCATATTTGGAACATGATTGAAAAAATGACCGCTATTTCACCCGGGCGTATTACTATCCAAAATGGTGAAAATTGTTAGCACAATCCTGGAGTTGGTTCAGCGCCGGTTTAAAATGGCGGAAAATCAACAGACAAGTCGCCCCTCAAATGAGTTAATCTTACATTTAAAAATGTGTTATTACATGCAGTGAATCAATACGCTCCTCTAGAATGTACATGAAAAGAGACGGCATCACTGATGAATAGCATGCCAAATATTGAATGAAGTGATGTTCATCAACATTGTTGTCTGCTTCCTCGCGCTTGCCTCCACCGGTCAGATGACGTTTAACCGTTTTGTTTTGTGGGCTGCGCCACCCTTAACATGTTCTTGGTTATTGTTTTTACGTCACAAACATGTTTCTGGTTAGGGGTCGCCAAAACGCGCCCCGGGTAGTGACACGACCGTAACGCGTGCATTTCATAGTCGTTTGTGAACGAGAGAAGTCAATTCCGACCAAAGGAGCCTCCGTTGCCAGGAAAAATGCGCCCTCTCTTGGTCCAGCTCGGGGCTTATAAGCTTGTGCACATTGTGTAATTCAGTGACCAGAATTAGAATATTGCGGTGGTGCAACGCTTGTGGAGAGGTTTTGAGAACGTTTTACATAATAATACCATTTGACCTCTGTGCAACTTCTGTCACAGTGCATTGTATCCATACTAAGGCGGCTAAGTGAGGAGTGTCCACTGAAACGTCACTGAATACGGGCGATTCACAATAGAGCGCTCTGAGAGTTTGTAGCACGTTGGCCAATCACGACGCCTGACATCTGTCGACCCTTTCCAAACGCGCATTGGGTCGACAGATTTCGCGCATCGTGATCGCCCAACGCGTTTCAAACTCTTAGAGGCGCTCTATTGTGAATCGTCTGTATTATATGCGGGCACATTGACCGTATATCGCGTGATCTTGGTGCACGTGACAAAGAGACGCATGAAGGCGCCTTTCCATAGGGCCTGTGTATGTTTCTGGGTGGGTTGCGTACACGATGCGGTCAGGCGTTTCACTCTCATGGACCAAAAAATCGACTCCATTAACATAACACAGGTGTGCTTTGCGTTCGACCGCCAAAATCGGCCGGGAGCGATTTTGACGGATACGCAACACAGAGCGCCTTGAGACAGTCCGTTTAAAGAAAAACTCGTCGGAATTCAAGTGGATCCCCCTTAATACCAGTTTCAGTGTGTTTGGCTTTCGTGGATTAGTGGCCTATAGGTCTATTACAAGGGTTTGCGCAACCGTAGATCAATTGCCCAAAATTGATGGATGTGAATATTTAGAAACTATACCGTCGAAATCTAAAGGATTTCACATTTGTTCTGCAGTCACTTTGTTGGTTATGTAGTTCTGGGCCTTCGTCGATGAGTTGTGATTAAGGTTAGTGTCCATCACACTGTGGTCAGTCAGCGTCCTTCATAGCTCGAACTCGTGGGCACCCGCATGTTCGATTTTGAAAAAAAACAATACGATAAACGTGATCATGTAATCACGGAGCTTTTTAGTACACGTGTGAAAGCGAAGTAGGCCCAGCGCCACCATCATTCAAATGTATTACATCATGCGTACCCCTCGTAAAAACGGGTGGTTACTGCACCTGGTAGTCATCTCTCTTACCGCGTTCCGTACGCATGCCTCCCCGCATTTTATGCTTCCAGCACGGACTAAATGAATTGTTCAACTGTCGTTCTCAGCAAATAGGATCAGGGCAAGGCAGAGAGAGAAACTCGCTGAATCCACATAGAGGAGAGTGCGGTAGTCTGTCAGTTGATCCGAGGACTTAATTAACGAAGGAAGCGTTTGGCATCAGAGGCGCCTACAGTTCAATTTGACAATTTGGCGTTTGGGCCACGGCTAAACGGGTTGCATTTTGGAAACATTTGCAGTTTGTTCAGTATCCTTGGCGGTATTTGTGTAACAAGTCCAACATACAACAGACACTGCACGGTAAGTTAAACATGAATGGATTATTGTTTTGTATCAGTAATTTTTTATTTTCATGCATGTCAAAGCCCAGCGTCTGTACGTGTACGGTGAAATGCACAGAAAAAACTTACAGGATGGAGAACTCCTTTTTCGAAGATGATCTTTGGTGAAGCAGATGACTTTCAGGATCGCAAGGCTTAACGTCGTCCTCGTTGCTGTCGGCGTCATTTGGAAAAACCAAATGTATACTTCGGGCTTGGTTTTTAATGGAATTGGTAGCGTCGATTCTGGGACATGCAGTCAAAGCAATGTGTTGAGGGCTCATTCTAATTAAATGTAGTAAAAAATCACATCAACACTTGCGAAAATTTCAAACACATAGCGAGTTCATTAGGCCCAAGAATCTCGTTCCATTCATTAAATGCAAATTCCAGCTAAATTGTCCAGATGTTACCTGGAAATTTGCAAGCCGATGTATCCCGTTAACAAGAACGGATTTTTTCCAAAATCAATTTCTCAGCTGCAAATTCTTTGCAAGTGTAGACTACAGAAACCTGTCCCGGCAATAAGACGTAAATGTCAGTATATTCTCTGTTAATAATCACACAACTCAAACGACACCACAGTGTTGCACCTTAAAAGTTCGTGTATCTTTAGCCGTTTTGTTCTGTCTGTCAATAAATACCTTATTGTTTGTTAATTTGCGTGCGAAAGACCGACGTTGTGTGCTGACGTGCGTTGAAAACCGATGCATTTCCTTTCAACATGAACCTTAAAAAATGCACCTGCAAAAAATGCAAAAACTGTCAAGACATCCATTAACAGTGAGTAAATTCTGGGTTCACAATTTCAACAGGAAAACGTATGCTCTAAACCATGTTTTCCCCTGATGACATTACGGAAGAAGTCCCTCCCAGGAAAGAATAGATGATTTAAAAAAAATGGAAACAGTGCCCTTTTCATTCCATTTGACGAAATAGGAATGTAAAAGAGTTTTCATACCTCGAAGAAGAGTGCAAAGAAGCCGAAAAATGTTTCTAAGAAAAATTAATTGCAGCTATACTTCCAATTTCAGGGTTCCAGGTCCAACTTTATGTTCAGTGGGTGTGGTTTTTGCTTAAGTGACGTCACACATTAGAACCGGGTAGCCTTCATATGACGCAAGCGATGCGCTTTCCTATTATGCATATTCATTTTGAATAACCAGTCCGCGTCGTTTTTATATGCTACACAATCAAGGTTAGTAAAGGAACATACACAAAGCTAATGGAGTCGCGTTGCATTTCAGCTAACCTGCTGCTTCTGTGATTTGTCAAAGTACCCGCGCGTCAAGTTAGACGACACATTAGGGTTTATTTGTTTGTTTCACAAGGATATACGAATCTCATTGAGTAATCCATCGTTGATACCAAAACCCGCCTAATGGAAAGAGAGAACCATCGATAAGATAACTGCATGACTGAAATCTCGGTTTGTGTAATTAACATGGCCATTGAGCTCCATTTATGGATGCCACCACAGTTATGGCGTATCCTCGGAACAATCTATGCATGCATAATCAACACGCTTATAAGAAAAACAGCTAATACTGACAAATCTTGAACTCAGCGTAAACTTTCCTTTGGGAAAAACTGAATAATATATTAAAACGACCACCTTTTCCGTGTGTTAGAAATTTAACCACTTACCTCTTGAAAACAAATCCTTTATATTAACTGTTTCCAAGTTTCAATCCTTCTTTAAATGATGCTTTGCTCATTACGTAGTTCTGGGGCATATTATAATGTGTCACCGGTACACTTATAAGGTAAAATGTTTGCAAAATCCTCACGATTTAACGTTGGTGGGTAATCAGATGGGATGCTTATGACCGAACGTACTCTCTCTTGAAATGGCTGATACTTGAGAATAAGCTCCAATAATATTAAACATTAATTCGACAGAATTTGCGAGACCTTTCCTCGTTAGGTACCAGTTCCATTTTCCAACCCCCCGTAAAAAAATACCATTTTGCCATTAGGTAGAAGCACTCTTAGCCCTTTTACGCGGCATTAAAAGACACGGCAAGCCGGGATAAAAATCCGATCATATCAGCTTCGTAGCTTAACTGGTAAACTGTTTAGTGGAGTCCTTTCCTTCCCTCGAGAATTCCAGAAACATTTTTGACAAATTGCCTCCGGCTGTCACTCTAATTGAGTAAAATTCACTCCACTTTGGCGCAGTCGAGTAATACCTTTGGGCGTGTAGTGTACTTACCAAATTTATATGATACATATCTTGTCTGGCGTTGAACTGCTCCAAAATCACCACCAAGTTAAGCCCAGTTTATACTTCACACATTTGCCGCGAAATTGGCATGATTTGGCAGAACGAATCTTTGATCTAGAGTAACGTTTTGCGTTCGCGTCCGTTTTTACACCAGGTATAGGGCCTATATGACATGAACTGCATACATGTACACGTTGGGATAATCTTTTGGTAATTTCAGATTGATTTTCGAGATATAACATATCCTTTGATCGGTTCCACTTTCACTAGTTGAGTCGCATAATTATTTTTAGGGCTGCATGAACTCAATATAAAAGGGATCATCTTAAAATCATAAATTCACTAAACTTATCACACAAAACTGCAGACGTTTATGTATATAGCAATTTGGCGAAGGAAAACAAGCCGAACTGTGGCACCATCCTGCATGAAATCTAGCTGTACAGAAAGCCAGCAAAAATATTAATGATCAGCAAGAAAAACCTTACAACCAACAAGGCCCGTTGTGTCAGCTTGATATGCACGTTGTCGAGGCCAACATAACCGGGAACGACCAAGGGGAAAAATGGAGTTGGGCGTTTACACGTTAATGGGACTAGGAGAATAAGAACAAATCAGGCAATTTCCCCAAAGACAGACATATGGAGTTTCTTTGGACAACACACTTTCATCAGCCTTAGCTTGATAACGACAGCCAGCGCATTCTGAGCTCGCAATTACATTGATAAGTGCAGTGTAACCAAGCAGGCACCAACGGCAGTCATTTGGTGGTCAGCAGGGGCTTGTTACTGAAACTAATTCTCTGCTTTTGGTTTTCCGAAACCATAAAGCAAGGTCACCATAATGGAGGCCATAGACGCAATATAACTAAAAATATCTGATACACACGAACGACGTACCAATGGAATCTTTTTCTAGAGCAATAAAGACAATATGTAGCATGGTAAAGCTTTTTGTCGCGCACTTGCGGGTGGTTCCATCTTTTTCGGTTGCACCTCGTCACAACTCATTATTCGCTCCTTTCACTAGCAAAGTTCTCTCGCTTATCTGGGATTAGTTGTTTTCTGATAGCGCAGGGTGCTTTATACTGTTCACAAGTTCAATGCACTTGTTCTCCCACAAGTTCTTTTCTTTATTGAAGCATCTCAGAAGTGAAAGCCCAGAGTAACCTATAAGATGCGATGCTTTTTACTGACCGTTCTTCTAAAGACGCCCTTCTGCCTTTAGGCAGTATTCCATTAACCAGCGATGAATTTCCACATGTTTTTACAATATTAATATGGCCCAGTCAGTCGAAGGCAATAACCAGCCCCTGAGCTGGACAAAGTAATTTGGACGTTTTCCTCACGGGCATACCTTCAGACTATGTGGGTTGATTTTTTTTCTCTTGGGGTGAAAATTTTCGTCCCATACCAGTGGGACGATTTTTCTGTTTTTTAGACTCACACTTATTTTATATTTCAAGAAGCAACCTCGACATAGTCTCAGTAGGATGCTCCATTAAAGCAATTGTACGTGGTATTTCTACAGTAATAAATACGATTTTCTGTTTGTATAAAGGTCGATCACTTTGCCCTTTTTTATTCAAAGAGACACTGACCATTATACACTTCATGGGTAGATGGGCGAGGCAATGCCCCTCCTCATAGAAGGGCATTTTTTTCCAGAGGATGAGAAGAATTATGTTTAGGGAATCATTCTCTTTCTGTTTCCTCCCGACGCATGTGAAATGTCCTCAGGTTTAGCCTTACATAGCTGAAAAAGCCCAAAGATTAGCATTTAAATGCTCAATTTTTGCCCTATCCCCAGAACTGTGGGGTGGAACTTTTCTAAACAAACGTCTCTTTCATGAATATGAGCTGCATGCATTGTTTGGCACGCTCAAGGGTCTATCCACTGCCAACACTGGTCGAGAGTTCCCCTCGTTTTCTCTTTTTTTTCGAATGACGCAATCTACATTCAGAATTAACATCTTGGCATGAACAGAAAAAAAGCCCTTTGGGCTTGTTATAGTTGAGCTCCGAAGACAAATAACACTGCGTTCGATTTGGATGCTTCCATATTTATATGAACAGATAAAATCAGAGAAAACATGTTTTACTCAGAGGTGCTCTTTAATTGAATATGTACCTGTAGAAATCTACGTGCGCAATAGACCGCCACCATTTTTGATTCATATCTTCTGGTATTTAAAGTTAGTACAACGTAAAAATAAACTGAAATTCCTGACACCATTGATTTACTGATGCCGCCTGAAAAAAAATAAAACATTCCTATCAACGAGCGTCCGTGTAAACATTTGGCTAATAACTTACCAAACGAACCAAGCCCCAAGTGACAATATGATGACCTACTAAGTGGCATAGTGTACACATTCTCAAAAAGTGAAGTATAGTTTTGCCAAGTGCGTTTTTATGGGATTTTAAAAATATTTTAAACAGTGTTCATATTTCGGGAAAAGAATAGTTTTCACCAGATACATTATTCAAAGTTACACGAGACATTTTTAAAAGTACGCTTTCATTACAGTGAACTTGGAAGTATACATCTTTAAAAACAAACTTCTGAAAAGCGTTTTTTTTACAATAATAAAACATTATTTCCAAAAATAGAGTTCGTTTCACCATGGAGTATTCGTTTTCTGTCTCAAAAACAAACTTAAAATAGAAATGCCATAAAACCGAACTTGGAAAAGTATTCTTCCCTCTCTGATAGCGGGCTTTTGTAGACTGAATGTCGTCGATTTTGTATTC